CCCCCCCCCCCCCCTCCCCCCCCCCCCCCCCCCCCCCCCCCCCCCCTTTGTCCGCTGCTTTCTCTCAGATAAGTCAACTCCAATAGTGTATGCGTTCACACATCAGATCCCCCACCTGCCACAAGCTGTGACAAGCCAGTGTAGTTCATGTGTTAGACCTTTCTCATTAGCGATGCCAGCCTTCACCTCTTCTGCCGAGATCAAAGGAAAGTCACTCACAATTGCCTTTGGGAGACACGCCCAGCTGCACAGCGGTGTTGTTACAATTCTTCTTCTGTCCTCCCTTTGAGTTGTGTGCAGCAGCGCTGGACCGATATAACAGACCTACAGTCATTCCTAAGAAATCAAGATATAACTATTAAAGATTTCCTTTTCTTTCATCGTTAACATAAATATATGTCTATCCATTACGGCTGCCCTGACTCTTAATATCCTTATTTAAAACACGGCTGGCACGCTAAAATCTTGATCATATTAGTTTTAATACTGCGAGCAAGGATCCTGGGATTTCCCACCCACTTTCTCACCCACGCCCTCCGCCTGGGAGAAAGAGAATTGGAGCGAAATGAAGTATCGCATAAATCTGTGTGTAGTGTAATACTCTCTTGTCAGTGCAACTTGAAAATAAAAGAAGCTGTGAAACCGTCATTGAAAACTGGGTCAAACTCATTTAACACAGCACACAGTATCAACAACAGGGACATGCAGGTTAAACTGTGAGGCACACAACAGGCACATTCTTTGTATTTTAAATTCTGTGGATGTTTTTTTATATCCTCTGCATATTGACTATGCATGGCAGAGAACAGAAATCATTTAGGCTACTTCACATACACTGTCAACTGGAACACTGGCATCTGTCACGGCCACACTAATAGCACTGCCAGCGTTTTCCCTGCCTTCCTAGTGCTGCCTGCACTTTGTCACTGCGAGCTGCCTTATGACCGCTTTGCTCCGGTGAAGGTAATTTACTGTATTTATTTCGTCTTTTATCCCCGAAATCTTATTATCTGCAACAGTAATGAAATATTTGAGAGTTTCCATTTACCTATAGGAGAAGCAGCCTTCGTAAATGCCAAATGTTCTTGTTATTATAATAGATTTGTTGTGGCTTTTATTTATTTTTTTACATCTAATATGCTTTGTTTTTTTCATTCAAATATCCATGAAAATCTTGGGAATTATTATGGATGCCTGCACATTCACGAGGTGCATGGGCCCAGCTGCCCCCAACACCATGAAGGGGAATTAGGATTTTAAATTTGTTGCATGACTGGCACCTGTGTGCATACTGTCGTGGGATCAGCGCTGGCCTCTATTGTTACATGTGGAGAACGTCCAGGATCTGGGGCCAAATGATCAAATGATCTGACAATTATTTTTTTCGTTTAATTGTTCGGTCTGTGAAATATAAGAAAATAAAATATGGCAATTATAATTTCCCACAGTCCAAGGTGAGGTGTTCGAATGTCTTTTGTCAGACCAACGCTCCAAAACCCAAAGATGTTGAGTTTACTATCTTCTATAAAAATAGAATATATCAAATCTAGGGCTCATGGGGGAATGGGATCAGGGTTGTGTTGGACCATCAGCGATGCTTAATCCTTCACACTCCTCAGTTTCTGGGTAATCGGAACCTCCTCCCTCAACACCATGGATCCTTTTAGGGACTACGACCAAAACAGGAATTGGGCTGTGGCGGTCAAACTGTGGTTCCATAGTTTCCTGGGTTTCTTGAAAAAGTCCTTGTGTTAAAGGGGATGCTCAGAAAAACATCCCATCCAGGAACAGTCTTATTCCTCATCATCTGTTTGACCATATTTCATGAATGTTGCCCCCCGCTTGATTAAATATGCTTGTCTATATCCGTAGAAACCCATTAACCCAGGCCTCTGAACCACCATGATGAAATCTGTCAATCACTGAGTGACTTTTGAAATTTGATTCCAAAAAATAATCTAAAGAGATCCCTTTTTTTTTTGTCAAGTTTCTTTTATATGCACGCTCCAAAGAAAACCCCAACTCTATTTGAATCTCCTGTTTCTTTGATTTCACATCCTCACAAGTCATTAAAGAGCCAATCTGCCTGTCGTCCTTCAGGAGAACATCGAGCTTGCCTTAGATGACACTGAGCCCAGCACCTCCCTGTCTGTAGCAGTGGTAGACCAAGCCTCAAGCCAAGCGCTGGTAAGTTCAGTGTCTCCATGTGTCGGTTGTCTTCATCATCTCTGGCTCTCATTTCTGGATATTTTCGTGCATAAATCTGCAGTCTTTGATGATCCATTTTCACAGGGTTATCTGAATCTTCCTTTTTCAATCAACAATAAATGCCATCTTTTAGCATAAGATGTTGTTTCCTCGTGTGAGTTTTGAAATATTGAAAGGTGTTTGGCAGAGGCTCAAACAGGAGGGTAGGAGCGGGAACAGAAAGGTTATAGAATTGACATTAAGAAAGAAAATCGATGTTTGGCCTCCGCAGCCTGTGATCTGCACCATGGAAACAGAAATGGCAGAGTTTGAAGAGTCATAGATCACTTTGGTATAATTCCAATGTGTTCTCTTTGAGTGCTTTGCTTTTTATAGGGTCCACTGTCTAATGGGAATGTCATCAGAAGAAATTGAACTGTAGTATATCCCACTGAAAACCAAACGGGAAGAAACACAGATCCATCAAAGTCATTTCTAAAGTCAACTTTAAAGATCTGCTGCTCAGAATGAAAAGACAGTTTGATTCTTTTTTTTTTTTTTCTCAACTCACACATGTATTCATTTTTTTTTTTTCTTCTGTTGTACCTCAGATGTCCGTTATCGCAAACAGCCTTAACGCTCAATTCATTGCCTCGTCGTTGTCATATGTCTCCTCCAAACTGATACTCTGTGTTGTATTTGAAGTCAGCGCTGTGTGCACTGCTGATAAGGATGTCTCCAGTGTAACTTCCTGATAGCTGCTAAAAACATTTTTTTAGGTTTTGTGAGTTTGGTTCCCCAAGCTCCCGGGCTGGATTCAGGCGTCAAGCCATGCCAACGGAGCTGGCTGCCTCAGTGTGGAGATCAATCTCCCTGGAGCTCATTGTCATCCACAAAACAACAGTGGCTTATTTCATCATCTAAATGTATAGGACTCTGGCAAAGGTTTAAGAGCAAAAATAGAAACAAACACAGTGTGCTTTTAAAGTGTAATGTAAAGCTGCACTGTCCAATAACACGTACTTGTTATTTATCGTACATGGACACAACAAGAACCTTTCTCATGCACTTATTCCATGATCATCACTGCCGGAGTGGGTTTTATTTCCTTCTCTGTGCTCACACTAATTGTAATACTAATTGTATTACTTTTTAATCCCCCCCCCCCCACTCTCCATATTCATGAGCTCTTTTTTGTTTCCATTTCGATTATAAGGAAAAGCTAAATTGATTACGCCATTATTGCAGCAACTGCTGGAGGGTGCAGAGACCACAAATTCTTTTGAAACTTTAATTTCGGATGCTAGTTGTGCTATCGGGCCTGTCACAACCGGCTCATACTGGTAAAAACATCCCCATCACTTTTACTGACATTTAGTAGACAAGAATATTCAAGGGAACACTGACTGTAGGAGGCCAGCTCTCAGAATCCTTCACAAGTCTTCACAAGTATGTTTTAAGTACCCAGAAAGTGGATGAACAATAAAACCTGAAACACCCTCCGATTTATTCATGTCCTTGTGGCAAGGCGGTGGGACAACGTATAAGGGACTGTTGGTAAAACAATCTTTTTGAGTCAAATGGATCAAATGGAAAGTTAGCTAAAGGTACTAATGGCAGTCTTGGTGAGATGTTTTTCTACTCTTGTGGCATTGTTTGCGACGGTAAAACAGAGCATTTTGTGTCCCCGCCATGATTGCACTAAGGAGCTATGACCGTTTATTCGACAGGTACGGACGGTGCGAATAGATGAGGCTCGGGGCCTGCTGTGGCTGATGGAGGAGGAGGCGCTGCAGCCCGGAGGGTCAGAGGAAACCCTGTTGGGACGTCTCTTTAGCTACTACGGACCTGCTGAGGGCGAGAGCAAAGGCAAGGAGAGGACAAACACACACAGACACACTTGAAGCTAATACAACAGCCTTTAGTGTACAGACATTGACTGGTAACTCTTATTTTAACGATTCCAGTCGACCTTTTAATAAAAAAGTGAATATTTACTCCAAATGTATTTGATGCCATATTAACATTAATGATGTTGCCAAACCGAATAACGGGGTGCAAATAAACATGCTTGGTGTGAACTTTCGTCTGTTTTTTTTTTTTGGCATGAAATACTATGTGCAATGTGTGATCATATGTGAACGCACGTTATTTGCCAACTCTTGGTACAGCTTTAATTTTAGATGAAGACATTTCACCATGCATTTTGTCCCAATGTCTGAGACTACAGTTCTCCAGTGAAGACTCTTTTGTGTCACAGTAAACCTTACTGTATCATGCATACAAAATATCCCAACAGAACTCCATAGAATTCTAGAAAAGTGTTGTTTCGTAATTACAAACCAGATTTGAGCTTCTCTGTCTAGTTTATCACCCGTATCTTTTCGATAGTCTTTTTTTCCATAGTCTACCACATTTTACTATCACTGTAAGTTTATGCAGGTTTGTGACAGCCTATGCATATACATAGTAATCAAGACAAGACAAACCCTGCATACGACTTTCCTAAACTCCTAAAGGAGACTGCTCGTCTCTCTGCGTGACGTACAATGAGCCGGGGAATCTCACATTGCTTCCTGCGTTCCCATCAGGTCACACTTTCCTCTTGAAGAGTGAAAAGGATCATCATTTCCTGCTGGGCCACAGTCACGGGACTGACTGGGTGGAGTACGATGCCTGCGGGTGGCTGAACTACGCCAAGCAGAATCCAGCGTCTACCAACGCCACAAGCCTGCTGCAGGACTCCCAAAAGTAAGCGTCACACATGCATTGAAGAGGTGGGTGCGGGGGGAGTTTTAGACCAGACTTGAGGCTGAAGTAGTGCATCTGTTGCAGGAAGATCATCAGCTCGTTGTTCACGAGTCGTGCGGCTGGAGCCACTGTGCTGTCCGGGTCCATCGCGGGCCTCGAAGGCGTTTCCCAGCTGTCCTTGCGACGGGCCACCAGCATGAGGAAGACCTTCACCACAGGGGTGGCTGCCATCAAGAAGAAGTCCTTGTGCATCCAGATAAAGCTTCAAGTGGTGAGAGGAGAGGATGAAACTAATCAATCAGTCTTTGTTTTTACGCTTTTGTCCACTGTCAAGTTTCAAAAACATCATGTGCCTGTACTGCCAAGGACGCTGAGAATCAACATCCCGGTCTGCATCTTTTTTCATTAATCCTGTTTGTGGTGGGAACTTGACAGGTTGATGTGATGAGTAAATCAAGGCTCATCGTTGTGCATTTGTATAGTGGTGTCCTTTGGACACCATAGCCGACACAAATTGCCCTACGCAGCTTTAAATGAAATGGATGGGACGACGGCCAATATTTGGGCTGCGCTCAGAGACGGATTTGAAAATGATATTAGGCCTGGTGTTAGTGTGCTATGAGAACAGCTCTGTCTGCAGCTATTTTGCTTCCAACCCTTCTGCGATACACTGGATTATTTTCACAGACAGCATTTTATGAAAATTAATGTTTCTTTCTTTTTTAAAACGCTGTTTTTTTCTTATCGACAACATCTGCACACGGCATTGTTATGGCAAATACACGAGGGTTGAGATATGGTTAGGAAAGTTGACCGTGAGGTGTGGACTCCAATCCAAAACAACAATTCCCACAAATACTGGGCTGTTTGCTCCCCAAACCTTGTACGTATAGTAGCAACAACCAGATGAAAGGAAAGGGTGAAACACTTTGTGGACAGTAGATTTAACCAGCATGTGACCATTGAAACACAAAGTACTTACTTAATGTGATATTGTAAGGTGTACGATGTCTGAAACCAATATGTGTAGCATTTGGTTGCTTTATGTAAAGCAGCTAGGCTACTGATTCCATGTAGATACGCCTGTGGAAGATATTGCATTGCACTGCTCTTTTTTTTTTTCTTCCAGGATGCTCTCCTTGACATGGTGCGGAGGTCCAGGACTCACTTTGTTCACTGCATATTGCCGAAGGCAGATGCCCTCAAGGCTCTGACTGGATCCCTGTTCAAAGGAGGGGAATGTGAGGCTCAAGGGGAGACTGGAGATCCCGGCTTAATGCAGCTCGATGTAGCCCTGCTCCGTGCTCAGCTGCGCGGCTCCAAGCTGTTGGATGCTCTCCGGATCTACAGGCAAGGTGAGATTACTGCCTATAACTCACTTGCTAAGGACGCACATAGAAATACAGACCTCTACTTTCTTTTTTTTCTCCTGATGTCCCTGTCACACTCTACAAACAATTCCAGAATCTAATGTTGTTGTTCCATGCCGACCTTTACAGGTTATCCCGATCACATGGTATTCTCGGAGTTCCGGCGGCGCTTTGACGTGCTGGCGCCGCACCTCACCAAGAAGCATGGCAGGAATTACATTGTGAAGGACGAGAAGAGAGTGAGTCAATCAACGAGGGAGGGAAATGTGCAGCTCTGCCAGTGGCCAAGTGAAGATTGATGTTGTGAAGAGGCAGCTTCATTACATCTGCCCCTGATTTGTCAGCAGTCAACTGACAGAGAAATAAACCCTCATTGATCAGAGACACTGGAATTATCTAATCAACTTAACCTTATCAGGATCCCCCCCTGTTAAAGTGGCAGATCTGCAGTGTGGCTTAATATTTAGAAAGTGCGCTCAAAGCAACAAAATACCATTCAAGAAGATGTTGTTATCTTCTTTTGTGATCTGGGCATTGAAAACTAACTGCCAAGGTTTTTCCCCTGTTGTTTTGACAGTGCAGGTGCTTCACATCTTTAGCGCTTTTGTTTTAAATGTATAAATAATGATTGTGCACTGGACCTCTGCGAGAGAAGCCCTGGTTGAAGTGCAGTGGAAACAAATATAAAAGTTTGTTTTTAGAGAGAAATGAGAGCGAGTGAAAGAATGAGGTTGACGGGAGAGAAAAGCTCTTTTCCCCCTGTGTCCCCGTTTTGTGGCTGAGTTTCTGTGGAAACGCTGGCAAACAAAAGCCCCTCAGTGCTCGTGGCAAACCTCTCCTGGTGTAATCTAGATGTGGTCTTTCAGGCTGGAGGCTCGAGTAGAGAGAGGCGGCTGAGACAACAATACACCTACAGCACACAGGCATGTGGATGGACAGGGGGAGGCTCCAGGCTGGCTGATGGTGTACCTCTGCATCGATTCTGTGCGTTCAAAGCTGCAAGAGGGCCGAGACCACAGAGGGGGTCGTGAGGAATATGCCAGGAGCAGGTGGATTATGAGGGGGACAGGTCGTAATTGCGTTGTAGTTGTGAGGTTCTAAGGAGCCAAACTTTTCCTGTGCTTACTGAATTCCTTTCAAAACAAAAGTCCAGCTAGGAATGGATGCAAGAGAAGAAGGGGGGCGGCACTGTACCATTAGTTCAGCATGGCAACTGAGAGCTGTGGACTACTGAAGTGTTGCGGTGTCAGTAGAAGTTCCCCCTGGATGCAGCAGTTGAAATACTAAGTGTGTGTTTTTGTTTCTGTACATGTGTGCCTTTACTCCAGGCGGTGGAGGAGCTACTGGAGTCCTTGGATTTGGAGAAGAGCAGCTACCACATGGGTCTCAGTAGGGTAAGTCATGCCACCACATGTCAAACGACTACAACAGCTTCAAAACGATTGAATAAACCTTTGCTGTAAATCGCTGCCAGTTTGACTCCTCTCTAAGCAGATAGCTGCAGTGCAAGGCTCTCTTTACCCTTGTATTTTCTATTTAAAAAGACACTTCACTGTCTGGGGGGAGTGTGTCTTTCATTACACCTGTCCCTCCTTGAGGTTTTCTTTGTCATCCTGTTTTTTGGAAAGTTGCCAAGCCTTTCCCCTTCTTTCAGTCGTGTAGCCAGTGGCAACCCGAGAGACATTTCTCCACCCTGCCCGACCGCAATTCTCTCTTTCTTTTCAGGTCATTAGAGCAAATTCTCGCAACTGATGGTTCTCTTTGTTTTTCCCCATGAACGTTGTAAAGTAATCACAGTAAACACTGCCTGGCACACTGAGGTCTAATCCTATCAGCTGGAAAGTGGCCATCAGCCAAGAAGGAAATGAAAGGCAACAATAATGTAGAAAACGGTGGAACTTGTGCTCCCAGATATGTGTGCTGCGCAGGGTTCCTTTTTAAAACGCACAACTCGAGAACGGTTCGGAGGCAGCTTCGCATGGAGCCACACTTTGGAGTGTGAAAAGGGCTCAGAAGTAGACGAGCACAGTTGGCCATTCGCAAAGCATTTTAGTGGCATCCGAGCAACCTGGCTCACTTGCATGCCAATTACACCAGCCCCCATGTAACCTTACGGCAGCGGAATCACAGCTTTTTGACAGCCAATTAGACATGGCCACGTGTCTGAAAAACAGCACAGCCAAAGATATCTTTACAAAGTACTGCATGCGCCATGATGACAAACGGCTTCTGCTCTGGCCCCCACGAAGCAATTTGAAAGGTAATATTCACTGATGTCATTGAATGCATCACTCCTCCCAACTGGTTTGCAGATTCCCCGCCTTCAGCTGCTCCATCATTTCCAGCTTCGGCTTTGTTAACAAATCACATATGGATTTGGTCATTTGTAAAGCATTGGGACTTGTGCAGAGAGACCTTGGGTGGAAACAGTCCGTCATCCATCTATTTTAATAGCTTGCTGCCATCATATCTGGAATGCATTCACAGTGCCCAATCCCTCTGAGGCCGGTGACGTGATCTGCTTTATATCGGCTGTTTACCTGTGTTTTACCTTTGGCCTAGATGAGAAACAGACAAGGCTGATTGTCCGAGATAATAACTTAATCACAGCTTTCCCACTTAGATAAGACTCACTTGTCCGTGGATTACACTGCCTCTTATTGATTAACTGCTTCAGTGCACTTATTTACTTATTTCTCTATTTTTTTTAACTTATATTTTGCTCTAAAGCGCTGCCTCTAAATCCAATTTCCCCCTGGCTAAAATAAGCGTTACACAATCTCTCACTCATTTTGTCCATCGCTAATAAATTCATTTGGTTTTATGTGTTTTGTTCTAGTTGTTCTTCAGAGCCGGCACCTTGGCCAAGCTGGAGGAGCAGAGGGATGAGCAGACCAAGCGTAATCTCACCCTGTTCCAAGCTGCCTGTAGGGGCCACCTGGCACGGCAAGCATTCAAGAAGAGGAAGGTAGGAAAAGACGTCACATGAGACGAACGGCTTAGTCTTTAATTAAAGTTAGTCTAAGCCCAAAACACCAAAGGTGTTGACATTTAAACTGAATTATTGATCTGGCGAGACAAGTTTCAAATGCAAAAAGGCATTTGATACTTGCAAAATTGAACAAAGTAAGGTCCATCAATCAAGGTCCATTTAGCTGCTTAGCTCTTTTCTTTTTTTATTAGGTAGGTGGAGAATGAATGGAATGGCCCCAGAGGCCTTGTTCCCTACGACTCCACCAGGAGTTGAGAGTTCCTTGTTCACAGCTAATTTTAGTGCATGTTAACTCTGCTCTTTGGGTAGATCCAACCCGCTCTGCTGCAAATCTTCAACTAATTATAAACCTGTTCTCTAAATCTGTTGCCCTCTCCTCCGTACCTCCTGTTCGGTTATCCGTCCAATCAGCTCTCCCAGGGGGATATTTGAAAGAGACCCGTCCACTTTCTGTTACGTTTTATCATAACTGCTCGTCTTGAGTGTAGCCTTATCAAACATACTGCTGACTCACACACCCATCTGCTCCGCCCATCTTCCATCTCTCTCCCAGCATGTGATGGGTCCATCTCTCTGGATCTCATACATGTCCCCCTGTGATGTATGGGGCCCCACAGTGCTTCTCCCTCTCTGGGATTACTATTTAAGTGAATGTGCTGCTTCAGCTGGCTAGTGATGAACCAGCAGAAACGGAATCAACATCGCTGCTCTCCTTCCAGTATTACATGCTGTTAGTGAGCAGATATCATATATATGATGCCAGTAAAACTATGAAATTGTCATCTTTGCAATGAGGTAAATCAATATGTCCTTTTATATGACTGGACTTCCAGCTCTCTTCTGTTGTTACTGTTTCTACCACAAGTCGAGTCTGAGTAATGGAAAATGGGGAACCAAGAGAGGCCAGTGTATTTTCCTTATTAGGTTCATAGGTCATTATTCACACAGTGAAGCAGGCTAAGAGCCCGGCGCTTCATAATCTGTGAGGACGAGAAGTAAATCAACAGCGAGGAACCATTCAAAATTGCTAGGCAACTGTGCAATTACAGATGTCATCAGCAAAGAGGCAGTTTTTTTTCCCCTCTGCCCCCATGTGCCCCTTATTTCCCGCAAATACATCCTTAATAGAGAGATAAGTTCATGATTTCTTGTAATTTCATTGCTCTTAAACTCAATGTTACATACAATTATGACTGTGACAGCAGATTCTATCAACTCAGGGGGATGTAGTGTAGAGGCTTATTCAAACTGTGCCCATGATTATGCACGTTGCTTTCATGGTCATAAGTTCAATTCAGTCACACAACCTTGCCTACCTCCAGCAGGACAATCAAAAACTAAATGCAGCAGAGCCCACATACAAACACAAATATCTCTCATATCTATAGATTTCCAATTTAAGGACCAGTTGTGATACTTAAGTAATAATAGAGAGAGTCAGATGATGCCATGTTGTCATGTCTGTATAGTAAATATCAAGCTACTATCAACAACCAGCTATCAAGCAGCCGGTACTCTCGGGTTAGCACAAACACTGGAAACAGGGGGAAACAATTAGTCTGGTCCTGTCCAAAAGTAGCAAAGTCCGCCTTCGTACAACTTTAACCCTTTCACAGTGCGTTTTCAGTTCATGAAAGTTAATTGTAACATTTGGGTCGCCTAAAAATGTCTCATTCAGCGTTCGGTTGTACTTAGCTCCTTCAACTCATGTCACTTCTGGTTGCAAAAAACCAAGATGGTGACGGGCAAAATGCTCAAGTCCAGGCGTCAAAGTGGCATTCTCCACATACAAATGGGTGAGACTACGTCCACTTCTTGTACAGAGTCTATATTCCAAACATGCAGCCCAGTCTGAGTCAGTGTCAGGCACAGCTCGGTGCAGGTATTCACTGCATTAGAATAATCCAATCGTGCATTATCGAACTCCAGTCTTTCCAATAATGGAACGGCCTATCATTTGAAGCCCTCTAAAGGTGTAAATAACATTATTAGGTCGGTATCTGCAGTAAAGTCAAGTGTCAGACTGAGATGTGAAAATGTGTGCTGAGGAGAAACCAGAAGTGAGGAGCAGTGCCAAGTCTAGTTTCCTTGATTTCTCCTTTTTTCACATACTGCTCAAGCAAACACAGTACGCTGGATTTATTACACGTCTCTCTTCTTGCAATGATTACCCGAAACGCTATTTTTTTATTTTTTTCCCTTCCCGCTGAATCTCATTCTGCTCGTATTATTCCTGATTCAATTAGTCGACACCAGATTAATGGAACAGAAGCAGGACTGTGGAGTGATTTTCATCTCTGCTTCTCTCCATGATTCACAGAGTGTGTTGCTGTTCAATCTTAGAATAATCATCACATAATAAGGTCCACTTGCGCCTTTGCTGTTACCCTTTCATCCCTTTGCGAATATTGATTGGGCTCCATTGCCTCTTGCACTGATTTGAAGTATCCCGTTTTAGCAGGTTCAGTAGATGATACTGCGCCTCTGGAACAGTGCGGATGTGTTCTGGTGAAGCCTCTCCGACACTTCCTGGTTGATGTACATGGATGTGACAGACGGTCACCAGTTCCCTTGATTGATAGTCCCTGGCATGTTAACCTTGTGAAGCTGTGCCAAGCCCATGTGACATTACATGACAAAACCATAATTTTTCTTGTGTTTTAACCCCCCCCCCCTCTCCTCTCGTTCAACTGTCAACTGCTTCCTCAAGGGAACAACCTGACATTTTAAAAGTCTGTTATTTTCCCTCAGCTGGCACTTGCCGCATTGGGGGTTTTGTCCTTCAGGTACCCTACAAATGTTTATATGTCTTCTTTTCGTTTTTTTAGTTATTTGCTTTGAAATCTGTGTAAAGCAGCAATCATAAGCTAGCTTTAGCCTTCTCATACTATACCTACTCATTGCAACAGTGCTCATTGAATTATATAAACCTTTATCAGATGGAGATGCAAGATATCTCATTCATTTGAAACATACAAACCCATAGTTCCATAACGAACATGAATACCTCCCGCTGTAAAGGCGTAGATAGGCTCTGCATTGGTGTAAGGTACATTTCTATAAATAGTGTGTGCCCATTACACGTTAGTGTAAGTCAAAGCTTACCCCCTCATTGTCAATATACTGTACTTAGGAAGCCCATACATACATCCTCTGAACGGCCAAGGTCTGTAGTTTGTGGTTGTAAAGTTTCATGAAGCTGTGATGATTATCTTAGTGGTCACAACAGGTCATTTTACAGAAGAAGTTTCTCTAGTCATCCCCAATTTAAGTAATTCCAAGACATATTCAAATACACCATTTTGACAATACGACTGCATGCAAAAACTGCTTATGAATACTGTATATGAAGGGAAGACTTGTGGCAGCCCACAGAACCTATTTCCAGTCAGATATCTTCAGATTATTTATGAAGGGACCCCTTCATAAATTGCGAGGCCAGTTGTCCCCTCGCCAAGATGTAGCCCAATTTTGCAGCGTTTTTCAGCTCCCTTCCCTACAAGCTAGCGTGGAATGGTTGGCACCAATGGATTCATTAAATGTAGGTTGTGTAGATTTGCATATCCTCCCTCTAGCTTCAAGACCGAGCCCGCTACAGTCTCTTAAAGACAGTAACGTCGGCCGGGATCGGGTCGGGTTGTTTCATTGTTGAAGAAATCCTCAGAAACTGAGCATAAATGTTTGCTGCAGAAGTGGCGCTGCAGTCGTATATTCATTGCAGCACTCAGATGTCTGACATATGTACAGACATGCCTGCATGCATATACATGCACACACACTGAAACAGATTGTGATTTTCAACTCGAATGGAAATGTAGAACATCAAGGGAGAAAACAGAAAAACGCTTTAGTCATAATCTTGGCTTCACAAGCCTAATTCCCATCTCTCACGTCTCACAGCTGTCACGCCCTCTTAATGTGATGTGAATACCAACATGTTTATCCACGGTGTTCATGTAGTATACTCTTTTGTTTGTTTTCTATTCAGTTTAGGCTAAATATGACAAGTGAGACCTGTTTAAAGCTTCTGTCAGAGATGCGCTGCATTCTGCTCCATGTTAAGGCTTTCACTGTGTGACAAATCCTAATTGGACATAGACAGTACCTTCAGGGCGAAATGTACCTGATGCCGAGAATTGCGTTGCTCTAATTGGGTTTGCCCATAATCTGCTGCTGCTGGAGAGCCTCATGCATAAGCAGCATGGAAATCGTGTAATACTTGGAATTATCTGCCAACATGTTTGATTTAATTAATCAAAAAAAAATGTGCTTCCAGCCTTGGAACACATTCTGCAGAAACTCTCCAGAGGAGGCTGGCAAGTCCCGGGTTAGCTGCGGGAGCCCATACACAGGCAATATAGCATAAGAATGAGGAGTGAAATGTTTGTCAAATATTGTTCATCGGTGGCGAGGATGATATGGCGACAATAGATAACCTCGGTAAAACATTTATTCCACTGGGTAATTAAGATTTTCCTTGTTGTCTGGCATTGTTTCATGGCCCTGTGGACACTGCCGCCCTGTGATATCTGTCCATTACGTTATCTCTTTCTATATACTGCATTTAACACCATGTACTGTGCAAATTGCAGCAGTAAAGCTTGTATTATCTCATCTGTCTTAATTAGGAAGCACTTATTTGTATTGGAAGATCAATTTACAGATACAGTTACAAGTGATTACATTAAAATCGCGCTACCACCGACTCAATCTGTGTATCTCTGTGTGTGTACACTACACCAGCTATGCTCAACCACTGAGCCGCCGATCCCGACGCATCATTAGCTAGCTAAAAGAAAAAAGTGATGTCTTTCGTTTAGAACCCCTGCTCCACAAAAAAACACACGTTGTCCCAGATGTGCTCCTGTTTGGTGACTTTTTCTCCCTGTGTGTGTTTTAGATTCAGGATCTAGCGATCCGTTGCATCCAGAAAAACATCAAGAAGAACCGCGGCGTGAAGCACTGGCCGTGGTGGAAGCTCTTCGCCACAGTCCAGCCCCTCATTAAGGTCCAGCTCACTGAGGAGCAGATGCGAGGCAAAGACGTGAGGAGGCCTTTCTGTGTGACGCACCCCAACACCGATAGATCCCTACCTGTCAGACAGCCTCTAGTCCCCTTTAATGACGCACTGCATGCCACTGCAGCATGGAACTTCCTGTTTTTCATTTTTAATGTCTCTTGCAACACTTAATATTTCACAGTTTTGCCTGTTACATTACACATAACTTATATAGGCTACGTTCTGTACCACAGGAGGAGATACAGCAGCAGAAATCGAAGCTGGAGAAAGTGGAGAAAGAGCGGAACGAGCTGAGACTGAACACGGATCGATTGGAGAGCAAGGTGGGTCCCTTCGCCTGTGGCAATGCATGCTGGGAAGACGGCAAATGACAGCGGGTATTATATTTTGTAGTTTTGTATTACACTGTGTGTGTGTGTGTGTGTGTGTGTGTGTGTGTGTGTGTGTGTGTGTGTAGATCTCAGAATTGTTGGCAGAACTGGCTGATGAGAGAAGCACCAGTGAGTCAGCATCCCAGATGCTGGAGACAGAGACTTCAGAGAGACTCCGCCTGGAGAAGGACATGAAGGATCTACAGGCACATACACACTTATATAAACTCACATTGTAATATTTCAAAAAAACTAATTCCAATGTCAGTGTGACATTTTTTTGATTGGTGTACGAACGTGTGCATTCCAGGCCAGGTTTGACGCCATGAAGAAACAATTAGATTCACAGGAGATGGAGGTGATGGAAGCTCGGCTCATGAAAACGTCAGAGGTCAACGGCGAGATGGATGATGACGACGATGCTGGTTAGTTGAGCTACGAACCGCTCGTCCTCATTTGCAGCCTGTCATCTCTCTGTGCGGTTAATTTTATGCCCCAGACAATTGAGAAAGAAAACTTTTTCTCTCTCTTTGGAATCCCAATCTTGGTCATCAGAGCTTTTACACATTTGTTTTAAATTCCCTAATTAATTGGCCCTTGCGACATTTGCAGCAGCTTACCAAGACCCTGCCTAATGGGCATGTCAGCTCAGGGCAGAAGCATAATTTACTGAGCGCTCATACCAGCGTTACGTGCACAGTTTAAAATATCTCCCCTATACTAATTGTAGCTGGGGGAATTAGCGGCTTTGTTCGACTGTTTCAGCGGGAGACATGGCAGCGAGACTTGGTCACATCTCGCATAATGCTATTAAGTATATTTCCCAAGTTTGGGATTTACTGCTAGGGGATTAAGATGTTCGCTCCCAGGCATACAACTAATGCCTGTTGCTGATTGGTCTGCACCTGCTGTGAAAGAGAGCTCCCGCTGAGAGCATATTGTCCACTCCCCCCCCCCCCCCCCTGCGTTCCCACCCCCCTTCAACCCACCTCGGTAGACAAGTCATTACAGAGCACATCAGAATTCTTAGATGAATGAGAAAATAATCGTTGGGATCAGAGCCGGTGGCCCTGCAAGTTGTCATTATGCTATATATATGCTAATGAGCATCACTGATGGAGGAGCCGGTGTTGCTATGTGAAGGAGAAATGGACAGCCTCTAAAATGATAAGGCTTGGAAATGAACCTGAACCCGAATATCTGACTGGCCGCTGTTATGGTAGTGATAGCCTCTGACAGCTCCAGAATTAGGGTCGGCTAAGAACTATGGAAAGTGCCACTTAGACATGTCCTACTCTAACTACTATTGTGGTGTGCTCTGAATTCTTACCTCAGGTTTATCCGAGATTAGAGGCTGCTTTGTAGTTTCCTGTTGAATTTTTTGACCTCAAAAGGTCGGGATTTGATGAAAGGCGTTTTCTTTTTCTGAAAGATTTTATTATTTTGGTTCTTGAATCTGATAACCATCACAGCCCTGGCAGTGTACTCCATAATCCACAGCATCCATCATCACTGAGCTTTTGAGTCTGTGTACCCTGCTAGACCTGCTTCAAAGGCAGGAGACACCCAAATGTCACAGAGACATTTTATGAATTGCATGTCTTCCCTCCAGGAGGCGAGTGGCGGATAAAATACAACCGAGCCATTCGTGAAATGGACTTCACCAAAAAGAAACTCCAGCAGGAGTTTGATGAGAAGTTGGACACAGAGCAGCAGAGCAAAAGACACCTTGAGAGAAGGGCAAGGAACTCTGTTTATAATCCTAAATCATTAAACAAATGAAGTTTATCATAATGTTTGGCTACCACACATGCACTTGTTGCCAGTTATAGAAATGCAATATGCATTTAACTATCAAAAAAAGAAGAATAGAAATGTTGTGTGTTTGTTTACATGTGTTTGTGTGTGTGTGCACGCTGCAGCTGGCTGATTTGCAGACAGATAATGAGGATGTGCAGCGCTCTGTGCAGCAGCTGAAGAAGAAGTGCCAGAAACTGATGGCAGAGCTGCAGGACACCAAGCTTCACCTGGAGGGCCTGCATAGTCGCAACCATGATCTGGAGAAGAAACAGAGGAAGTCAGTAGCAGTTTCTTTGTCTGCCTGTCTGTCTGTCTGCCTGTCCTTCTTTCTTTCATAAACTTCCTTCTTTTCATGTACACATAAATACAGAGAACATATTGCTCTTTTCTTCTTGAAAGGCCAGGCGCAGACACTCTGACCCACCCGGCAGAACACTAACGTTTTCTTTAATTTGACTGAGATGTTCTGTAATCTGTGGAATTGCATTAGCTGAGAAAATGACTCAGACTTTAAGCACTTGAGAAGCTACCGCTGTGGCAGAATGTGATCTCTCCCCTGTGGCTAATTGAAGATGCTCTGTGGGTGAAATTATTTTCAGCTACGCTTCAGAGAGAAAAACAGGGAATTACAATGAGCTGACAGCATGAAACACTTAGCTGTTAAGTTCACTAACCATAAGTGTTTCTGTCTCAGACAACTGAATAAAAACCTTTTGCACATTACAACCCAATTGTAAATTGATTGCTAACGGAAGGGGACAACAGTTAAGCCTGAAATAGAGGTAGCGCTGATGTTGACCTCTGTGTCCAGATATGGCCTCATAGGCTCAACATCTGCGTGTAGCAGGAGTTAGGGTTAGATATTGAATGACAATTTATGATGACAAATGACTTGATGTACCAGTTTTATCTACTACATCTCTTGTAGCCTTCTGCAAATTGGCACCATAGACTGTATATAAGCAGTGGACGTACTAGTCACCATGACGTCACCGATTGGTTTGTGGACTGCCGTTTTGAAGCCTCGAGTAGAAATAATGCAAGTTTAAGTTACTTAAGCATTGGCTTCACTTTTTAGAACCAGAGGTTGCTGCCCAATTGGCACTTATTACAGATATACAGTTTACTATTATGCAAAATTTTTCAGCCCTTTGGAAACCTACTCTCATGTACAATTACCATTTTGCTAAGAAGTATATTTGTGTATGTGTGTGTGCTTGTGTGTGTTCCAGATTTGACCTAGAGCAGAACCAGGCTCAGGCTGAGGTACAAAGAGAAAGGAGCCAGAGGGAGAAGCTGGCTCGAGAGAAAGACTTAATGACTGGTGAGATGTTTAACCTTCGCCAGCAGCTGCAGGTAAGCCCCTTTACACTACACTATGGCCTCTCTCAGGGACTACATGTCTGGTCTCTCCGCTCTCTATTTGACATAACTGGGCTGGTCCAGATGTGCGTTTTACTGTATCTCTTCCGCCTGCAGGACAAGGACAATGACTTGTGCGCCGTGAATATGAAGGTGCAGCAGCTGGAGGCCGAGCTGCAGGATCTCTCCTCCCAGGAGTCGAAGGATGAAGCCTCATTGGCCAAGATCAAGAAGCAACTTCGCGACCTCGAGGCCAAGGTGAAAGACCAGGAGGAGGAGCTGGACGAACAGGCTGGAACCATCCAGATGCTGGAGCAGGTAGAGGGTGATGCAGTATGGTGAAATACTTGAGTTTTTACTGCTCAAAGCTGCTTATATCACGCTATTCAGTGTTTCAAACTCCAAACTGTAATTCTCTAAGTCCCGTAACTTAACAAAAAACTGCCTTCAAAAGTAGCAACCTGTTTAGGAAATCATTACATTTGAGTCTCTCATTTGTCACAGATGGTAAAAATCTAATTTTGTTCTTTTGTATTTTTATGTGTGTTGTTTTTCATCTTTTCTGTTGTATGTGTGTGTCCCCGTCATGCACTCAGGCTAAGCTGCGGCTTGAGATGGAGATGGAGAGGCAGCGGCAGACCCACTCTAAAGATATTGAGAGTAGGGATGAAGAGGTGGAGGAGGTCAGGCATTCCTGCAGTAAGAAGGTGGGTGCTGCTCATTCTCACTCTTACACATGTGTATATTATTTTCTAAACATAGCCTCTCTATCTTGAACTGACGATTGATCAGCACTGAGAAACACACATTTGTAATCACAAAAGTTCATTGTACTTAGAGATCCATGCAACTTAAGTTATTTCAAGTTAATGTTGGTTGTCTAATATAATCATTTTAAATTACAACAATATCTAAAAATCTTACATCCAACACAGTACATGCATATTAATAACAAAATGAATACAACTTGGAGGAGAAATAGTGCTTGCATTTGTATCTTTATGAAAAGTGAAAACTAAAATATCTGATTTTCAAAGTTGACGGATCTAGAGGCTAGCAGATCGGCTCGGGGGGGGGGGGGGGTCCATTTGTCATTGATGTGCGAGAGCAGCCATGTCTAACAGGATGGTCGATGGTGTGTTCTGTCTGACTCTGTTTATCACTGATCATCTGTTTGTGCATCGTGACACTCTGTTCCCGTGTCCTGCAGCTGAAACAGATGGAGGTGCAGCTGGAGGAGGAGTATGAAGACAAGCAGAAAGTGTTGCGTGAGAGACGAGAGCTGGAGTCCAAACTGCTGAGCGCCCAGGACCAGGTACCTCCGTCACTCCGCCTCTGGTCTCTGTTGGCGCGGTTAAGTGTGCGCGATTTAGTGTGCACCACTTCTATTTTGATGGGAAAGAAAACTGCTTTTGGGTCTGGAGTGGTGGCGTGGGACTTAGAGGGCGGATAGAAAAACAGAGAGTTCGTAACAATACTGGCTAGAAAGGTGTGTTTTGTGATCCAGGTGAGCCAGAAGGATGTGGAGACAGAGAAGAGGCTGAAGAAAGACCTGAAGAGAACCAAAGTCCTTCTGACTGATGCACAGATAATGCTGGACCACCTGAAGAGTAACGCCCCCAGCAAGAGGGAGATCGCCCAATTCAAAAATCAAGTACGCCAACACTTAAATCTGTCTCATACTGATAAAACAAAAACACACACTTCTTGAATTTGGTCTGGTCTCAGGGTACAACTACGCCCAGGTTGTTAAATCCTCATTCCTCTGTAATAACCGGGATAGCTCCTTGATCTTGGCCTACTAATGTTTGCCCCTCACCTCCTTGCGGGTACCTTTTCCTCCCTCCTGTTTCTCACAGCTGGAGGAGTCAGAGTTCACTTCGGCGGCAGCTGTGAAGGCTCGAAAGAGCATGGAGATTGAAATAGAGGACTTGCATATCCAAATGGAGGATGTGGTCAAAGCTAAGATGTCGGTGAGTTTTCACATCTGTAGCGTGGGACTGCACACATTTTTTTTTTTTTTTGTTTTTTTTCTAACAATGCGTAAACAGATGACTTTATAAAATCGTTTATGTTAATGTTTCTATACCCTTCCTTTGATGAGCAAAACAACCAACGGTGTTTAATTAATGGAGGGCCTTGGCCTCACAGGCTTTCACCCTTAAAAAAAATGCAGCCGGGCTCTAAACATTAATATGCATGCATCATAAATCTATGGTGGGATATTAAAATAATAAATGCCCTTTGGCTTATATCTGATTTCAACGTTTTTGCTCTAATGGATAAATAAGCTTTGTCGAATTTTAAAATTTTTTTCCCCCTCTCTCCATCTGCTCATTAATGGCTGTCTCATGAGAGTACTGCCTGCATGTCAGACTCGTAGACTGACGATGTTTGTGTCTCTGGGGATGGCACACACAGAGCGCTGTGTGCCGGTGCTTTGCTTGTTAATTGCTGCATTTATGGCAAGGAAAGCTCTTGTTAATGTCTCAGATTAGAGAATGCATATTGAGGGTCTGAATCCAACCCCCCCACCCCCGAACACAGAGGAGGAACTCTAAACAGGACATCGCCAATATGCTGCACTGGCTGCACCTTTCCTTGCCTAAATGAGCCAATTGATTATCTCCAATTGGTCTCATCCACCCTCAGCCAGAGCCCCCCGTCCAGATTGCGTTTCACTGCCATCAGATTTCAGGACTGCCGCGGCCTGGCCAGCTAATGACCATTTATCATATTCAATAGCTTATGAATAAGACCTGTCATTCTATACTAAAACGTGAGTGTTTCCTCCTCCTCGTTTTGTCCTCCAGTTGGAGGAGCAGGTCAGCCGTCTGCAGAGAGAGAAGAATGACCTGCAGTCTCGTATGGAGGAGGATCAGGAGGACATGAATGAGCTGATGAAGAAACACAAAGCTGCAGTTGCCCAGGTAACCCAACATGCCTAAAACCTCCGTGAACAGTTCGAGAGCCTTGAAAATATGAATTACTTTTGTTGCATACTTTTGTACATTGCTCCGACCAAAATCAGACAAAAATTCCTCTAGTTTGAGAAGTTGCGGGGTACCGTCTGTAACATCGACGTTAACATTCTGTTCCTTTCTGCATGTTTAAGTCGAGTGGCTTTGAGGTTTGGAGGACATGTTGCCCTCTAAACACAGTGTGCGCTCTGCAATCAGGGCGATGCAAGCTGTTCTGCAGCAGATCACACGACAAATGATTTGGCACTGAAGTATAACATTCATTCACCATTTTACATTCCATTATTTTTAATAATTGAAACATACATCGACATAAACCTCCTATCTCACACACACACATATCCTAATTCTCTACTAACTTTGTGGGTGTGTGTGTGTGTGTTTGCACTAGTCTACCAGGGACTTGAGCCAGATCAGTGACCTGCAGGCCCAGCTGGAGGAGGCCACGAAGGAGAAGCAGGAGATCCAAGAAAAGGTACAAGGAAGTATTCAAAAGCACTACAGCCGCCTGCCAGCAGGCACCCACCTGCTGCCTCGACACTTCTCTCTGATTATTGTGACCAGAAAAAAACTGCTCCGTTTCTGTGGCAGCTTTCTTCTCAAAAACTGCATTGCAATTTGCATTTAAATAGTAGGAATCAGCAAAGATTTAGAGTCAAGGAGAGAAATTGTTGTTTTTTGCCTCTCAGTATTCGTACTTAAAGGAAGGGTCATGTACATAACCTCGGCAGATTGTCTCCATGCTTTAACCAATTGTTTTAAACCAAAAATGAAAGCACTCGTTCCGGTCCTTTCTACGATCCTCTATAAACTTGGTGCAGCAGCTTCTGTCTCAGCGATTTCTCTCATCGCTGGTCTCCTTGGTTTGCCAATGCATCATTTTTTTATATTTTGAACATCAGAAAATTCTCAGGGAAATAAGAAGGTGGCAATAGGGAACATCATCGGATGTCTTATGTGATAAAAGAATTGGACACAAAAACCTTCTTACTGCACTCTGATACGACAGAATGGAAAAACAGTGAAGATGCCATTTTACTCTCAAACATTAAAAAATTCTCTCACAACAGATGCACACTGCTTAGTCATGCAGGAAATGTCAAACTGCTGCCCTGTGACTTTTGTATTTGCTCGCTGCCTTGCACACTCGCACACTACCGTGAAGAGACGAGTGGCCCTGAGATATTCATTTGTGTGTCATTCCAAGTACAATGACAAACTCGCATGAACATTTAATACGCACTGTGCTGTGTTCATGGGGAGTCCATCTTTAATGTTTTTGAAACAACGCTTTAGCTCTGGCATGAGTAAAGGCTGTAGTTATGTGCTTTTTATACGTATTAACAGTCAAAAGAACTGATATCCGCATGTGAGACCCCACCTGCAGGCTAACCAGTCTCTGCATGACCCCTAGATTGAGGTTGACATTTGTGATTCAGAGTGAAATATCTCTCAAAAACTAATGGTTGGATTGCCATGACATGCACTTCCATGTAACTGTTACAAGAGATCCATTAATTCCTCACCCAGCACCATCATCAGGTCAAATGGTGAGCTAATATGCAACTGTTAGCATGCTAACACAGCCTTTGGTAAACACTAAACCTGCTAAACAGCATGTCCATTGTGAGCATGTTGGCATGCTGCGCAACTGGCTTACAGCTCACTCTTTGAAAGCTTAGCATTTGAATAACATGGCGGTCATAAACCTCAGTGTGATTTTAGCACGTTTCTGGGCCGATTGGTTTAGTTGCTGTATTCTGTGGTTGAGTCGTCAGCTAAATGATCGAGGCTCGACATAAATGTGTATTCATGTGGTTAAAAAGGTTAATGCACCTGATTCAGGCCTATGTTGATAATAGTGCTTTTATAATAACAGTGTTTTTTCAGAGGATAACCTCTAACATGTCACATGTGTCACGCATTAATGAATGCTCGCTTTCTTTGTTGACGCTTTTGTTTCCCAAATGAATTTCCTCATGGGCCATCAAAGCTGAATTTACAGAGAATATGGCAATCTAGTGCTTTGTTTGTCTGCACATTACACACGCTCAGGCTCGGAGTGACTGGACTCTCGGAGGGCGTCTTCCTTTAAGTGTTGACATGCAATTAAATAAACCAAACCACCTGCCTTGGAACAGAATGTGTTTCAATATAATTCCACTAAAGGACAGAATTGAGCTCTTGCCACCCACTAACAGCAGACCCTGTTTCTATTAGATTAAGATATACGCATGCCAAAGCTTTGGTCCACTTAGTTATGTGCAAAGCCCACCCATCAGAATATTTTTGGCTACATTAGAGAGACACAGCAGGCTGTTAGGCATTGTTAAAAACTGCCAGAGAAGGCGGCGATAGCCATCTAAAGCATCTGACCTTGAAGTGGTTATCTCATCCCCAGTAGGAGGGGAATCTAGCTTCTTTAGTAATATCAAAGGGAAACTCCAAATCCTCCGTGTCTCAGATGCAAAGTCCCCCATTAGGTACTGCCTTTTAGGCCGGTTTTCCCCCTTTTATCAGTCATGAGAAAACAATTCAGATGGAACAAACGTGCTTTGCATGAAGCTGTGCTCTTTCCCAAAGCCTGTGAAATTGCTGTGACTCGGTGCTACTAAGCCCTGAACCCCGAGCTCTTCTATTGACCATTTGTGTTAAGATGGGGGGGGGGCTTATCTAGTGCTCATTATTCAGGCTGGATGCTCCATATTTACATGTACCAAGATGGATTCAATTTGTGCAAAAAAAAAAAAAAGTTGAAAAACTGAACATTAATTTAGTTTTAATACACATATACACATAGCATCAGCGTAAAGTATTCCTAAGTCATTACTTAAGAGGAAGTGGAGATCAAGAGGGAGGTGTGCAGTCAGCGCTAATAGTCCTTAGGGAGTGATTGTGTGTGTGTGTGTGTGTGTGTGTGTCTCCTCCAGATTCATTCGCTGCAGAGCCAGCTAGAGTTCCAAGAACAGTCCATGGTGGAAAAGTCTCTTGTGTGCCGTCAGGAGGCCAAGATCCGTGAGTTGGAGACCAAGCTGGAGTACGAGAGGACACAGGTCAAACGCTTGGAGGTGAGATAAAGACTTTGTGAACCTGGAAACGCAAGTTTGACATTTGTTTCTGCATTTATCAAGAGCAAGAGATGATAGAAAATTGAAGGTATGATCCCTTGCATAGCTCCAGATCTTGGAGTTGCTGGTTAAGAAAAGCATCCGTCAGGGAATGGATGTTTTGATTCATAATTGAGAAAAGTGCCAAGCTTGACAAGTGTTTTTAACCGTCATCCGAACTCAGAGGTATACTTTGTCATATCTCACAGGTGTTTTATTCGATCATTTGATTTGATTTCATTACTTTGTCAATAATTGTTTTCTTAATGACTTACTCTAATTGTTTTCTGTTTCTAATTGAATTAGTGCTTTTTGTAAATACCAATATATTGGGGTCACAAGCACCCAATTCCACACAATGCAGCTTTATAGATGGAACTATTTATTCTTTCAGTTTGTTTTTGCCATGGGCCCCGATATAATGTGTCACACACTCATTTTGAATTTGAGACAGACACAAACAAATCTAAATTACATTTTTTCAACCTTTATTTTGACAGGGAGCCATACCAAGGACATGGTTTTATATTGAAAGACACATAACACAAAATAGTGTTTGAATGATTGTGGGTTTTCAATTATGTTATGGTGGGGGCAAAATCACCCCAGTTGGTTTCACCATATAAATATAACACAAATAATATTTACTTAAAATTACTAAATCAAAAGGATGGTGCATAAGCTTCTGAGTACTATGAAAGCTGAAACTTGTAAGAAGATTAACTGTACCTTTCCTAAAATAATAATTATCTCTTTGTTTTTCCAGATGACAAAAATTACACAACTAATTACGTTTTGAGAAGAAATAAGTTAGCATTGTTGCTATCCTTCATTCAATAGTCCTTGTTTGTTAAACATGTTGATGGGGTTCGAGACCAACTATGGTGAGCTAGGAACAAACATTTAAGGGTAAATACAGAACAAAGGAGATCATTTTTGTAAGGACAAGTTCACTCAGTTCACCTGGAATCCTCCCCAGACTCTGACGGGTCGTCTGAAGGAGAACCTGGAAAAGTTGACAGAGGAGAAAAACCAACGCGTCGCTGCGGAAAACAGGGAGAAGGACCAGAATAAGCGAATGCAGAGGCAGATAAGGGACATGAAAGAAGAAATGGGAGAGCTGTCCAAGAAGGAGGCCGAGGCGAGCCGGAAGAAGCACGAGTTGGTAAGGCTGCCGGTTGCTGGGGAGACGTGATATGATTCAGCGGCGCTCACACTAGAGGAGGTAACCGTGCTTCTTCTGTGCTGTGACCCATTCAACAGGAAATGGACATCGAGAGCTTAGAGGCAGCAAATCAGAGCTTACAAGTGGACCTTAAGCTGGCCTTCAAGAGGATAGGTGACCTGCAGGCCGCCATAGAGGACGAGATGGAGAGTGATGACAATGACGACTTAGTCAACAGGTAAAGCCCAAATTTAGCCGTCTAAAGAGGGAGATACAATTGCTAGATCTGTAATGTGTGTTTAGTGCATCAGGGGATACTGTGCTGGTAGCTACAATAGAGAACCAGCGCAAGTATCTTTTTTTGGAATATCCTGTCAATCACAACTTGTGTCTTTTCCTTCTCTATCTCCCCATCTTCCTACACCAGATCCCGTCTAACCCCTTTAGTTCTCTGTGAGTCATACTACACTTCGTCTGTTCTCCAAATACCTCTCACACGGTTTCATTCGGCTCCCTGCTTCTGATCTTTTGTCTCTGCGGCGGATTTCCCTGTTTGGTTACTCATTCCGTCTTTGCAGAGGGGTTGAGGGTTATGCTAGCTCTGAGCCCACTAAGGTAAACACTGACTGCAGTAATACAGACCTCTAAAAAAGAGAGACATTACACGCGGCAGCTCTGTTTGAGACGGAGGCCGGCAACAGCGCGAGGTTTACCGAGTCGCTGCTTTACAATGGATAGATATTTCATGTGCGTGTGTAAGTGTAAAGCTATTTATTTGCTGTTATCTCAGCTGGTCGTCTTTTTGCACTGTTGTTTGTGTATCTCACCTTCTCTTTTTTTCTCCCCCTTGTTCCCCCTTTGGTGTTTTCAACACTTCTGGCAGTTTGCAAGACATGGTGACAAAATATCAGAAAAGAAAGAACAAAACGTGAGAATGGAAAAATGCATCCTTTGTTTCTGTCATAATGGTTGTTTGCAAGTTGTGGTGTTTTTTTTTCTCACCCGTTTTCAACCACAAGAGAGAATAATGCAGTATTCCTTAGCCTCTCAGTCTGTGTTGTTCACAACAACGTTGCGAGGAGAAGTCACTTTAAATAGAATGGAAAGCTGTGTCTGTGTTATACATCTCACATAAAAGACAGCTTAAAAGGATGGCCCTGGTGTTTTGTTTAGTTTCATTTTATTTTGCGCCAAGAGCTGTCCAGAGGTGTCGGTACACAGACGGCCTCGTTGGAGACTTCAGGGCTTGTTTTACTACCTCCAAAAGTTGTTTGAAAAATATGATGGCACACAGAAGAATTTGCAGGATGTTAAGAGGAAGCGTGAACTAGAATGGTAAATATACGACACCGCCATGCTCCTCTAAAACGCTCTCACTGCTGTAGAAGATTTGAAAAACAGCAAAGTGTTTCAGACCTGGGGTAATACTGCATCATTGTCTCCATGAATCGTTTTCTATCAGACGTTTGCAGCCTCATCATACACTTTCATCATGCATTTGCCTGGATTTTTACCCGTCTTCTGCTCCGAGGTGGGTTTTCCAGCGCATATGCAACAAGCCTACATCTCACCGAGTTTGTACGAGGAACGCACTGCACACTATTTTCATTTTATGATACATTCATGTGAAATCAAAAATAGAATATGTGAACAAATTTCCTGTATCGGCTACTCGACAGTTGCTTAAGAAATCTCTTAAATTAAGATGAATTGATTTCATTTGCTGATTGTTTTTTTTCTTTTGGCCTCCGTATTGTAGACATTTCTTTCTACTTCTCTACAATTATTTCATGCCGTTTCCTTCAGTTCACAGATAAGAAATGAATATGGACCGAGATTTATCTGTAGGATTAATTGCAGCACAGCCTGAAATCAAAATCAAGTATTAAGTTTAGACATGTGCTTCTGCAGAAATATTGAACTAAATAGATGTACCATTACTGGTAGTTAACTACATAAATATATATATTTTTGTGGCTGCCTGGCACTGGAGGAGAGTAGAAAAGAGATTGTTGAATTTAAGAATGTACGCGCAAAACGGTGGTTGTTTTTATTAACAATCACAAGGAAACAGAGGAGAAGAACTGAAGTCCCAGGAAAATTAACAAAGACGATAAGATAAGCTGGAAAAATAACTGAAATAATGTGGCCTCACAGCAAAGTGCTACAAACCACAGCTCTCCCACAGTGGATGGCTTTATATACCCCTCCTGGCCCCGCTCTAATTGGACTGAACCACTGCATGGACGCAGGTGGCCAACGAGGCACAGGTGTGCTGACTCAGCCTGACAACAGTAAGACGTGTGGGGAATATGGGCTGGTGAAAACGAATAGAGGGAACCCTTTCATTCTATACATTTTCAAAGTGTGTCGTGAAAAGATGATCTGTGTTGTGCCCGCTACACAGACTTCGTGTGGTGGGAGAGACTTGCACGTGCTCTGGAAGACCTGAAGCGTGACCGTGTGAGCGATGCTTGTGACTGTAAAAATGATTGCAGCCCGGCACGTCTGTCCACGGCTGCACAGTCAGCAAGTGTTGCAAGGCAGTGACGGCACAGTGCGCCACTGAAAACATTACACCCAAAAGCTTGGCTGTAGATGTGCACTAACTCAAATTTCATAGCACTGTGAAACATTTAACTTTAAACACAAATGTTCACCTTGTCTTCCCTGTCAAATGTGTTGTGTGAATGATCATTAAGTTCTTTTGACTGACTGAATTCCATTTTTCCTTTCAGTTTTTATGCAGTGAAAGGATCCTTTGTGGCACGTTACATCATTTAAACCTTCATCAGAGCGGAGTATTCAGTTTGTGGCGGATAAACCCGTCCATTATTTCCCGTTTTAACCTCTGATTGCCTCTTCACAGCGGCATGGCATTGCGCTCGTTATATGCTTTTTTTTTTTTTTTTTTTTCATCAGACAAACCGGCGTGTACCAACGCTCTGCTTTTCATTTTGTGCAACTCGAGGAAAAGAGCGACGCTTTTCCGTGTTATTTAATTACCTTCCCCCCCCCCTTCTTCGACATCATTGCATTAGCAGCATGGGTGAACAATAATGGAGGGGATTCTTTTCTTATAATTATGAAGTGGATTTTCCAGATGATTTACATTACTATTCAATACGTTTTTGTACTCAATGCTTCAAAAACAGAGGTTACAATAGCTGGATTATTCATATTGTATGGAGAGATAATATCAGTTCCCAGCAGGGTAGCAGGCTATGTTAAAGTACAGAGGTAACATACAGTGGGGCAAAAAAGTATTTAGTCAGCCACCAATTGTGCAAGTTCTCCCACTTAAAAAGATGAGAGATGCCTGTAATTTTCATCATAGGTACACTTCAACTATGAGAGACAGAATGGGGGGAAAGAATCCAGGAAATCACATTTTTTATGAATTAATTGGTAAATTCCTCGGTAAAATAAGTATTTTGTCACCTACAAACAAGCAAGATTTCTGGCTCTCACAGACCTGTAACTTCTTCTTTAAGAGGCTCCTCTGTCCTCCACTCGTTACCTGTATTAATGGCACCTGTTTGAACTTGTTATCAGTATAAAAGACACCTGTCCACAACCTCAAACAGTCACACTCCAAACTCCACTATGGCCAAGACCAAAGAGCTGTCAAAGGACACCAGAAACAAAATTGTAGACCTGCACCAGGCTGGGAAGACTGAATCTGCAATAGGTAAGCAGCTTGATGTGAAGAAATCAACTGTGGGAGCAATTATTAGAAAATGGAAGACATACAAGACCACTGATGGTCTCCCTCGATCTGGGGCTCCACGCAAGATCTCACCCCGTGGGGTCAAAATGATCACAAGAACGGTGAACAAAAATCCCAGAACCACACGGGGGGACCTAGTGAATGACCTGCAGAGAGCTGGGACCAAAGTAACAAAGGCTACCATCAGTAACACACTACACCGCCAGGGACTCGAATCCTGCAGTGCCAGACGTGTCCCCCTGCTTAAGCCAGTACATGTCCAGGCCCATCTGAAGTTTGCTAGAGAGCATTTGGATGATCCAGAAGAGGATTGGGAGAATGTCATATGGTCAGATGAAACCAAAATAGAACTTTTTGGTAAAAACTCAACTCGTCGTGTTTGGAGGAGAAAGAATGCCGAGTTGCATCCAAAGAACACCATACCTACTGTGAAGCATGGGGGTGGAAACATCATGCTTTGGGGCTGTTTTTCTGCAAGGGGACCAGGACGACTGATCCGTGTAAAGGAAAGAATGATTTTGAGTGGAAACCTCCTTCCATCAGCAAGGGCATTGAAGATGAAACGTGGCTGGGTCTTTCAGCATGACAATGATCCCAAACACACCGCCCGGGCAACGAAGGAGTGGCTTCGTAAGAAGCATTTCAAGGTCCTGGAGTGGCCTAGCCAGTCTCCAGATCTCAACCCCATAGAAAATCTGTGGAGGGAGTTGAAAGTCCGTGTTGCCCAGCGACAGCCCCAAAACATCACTGCTCTAGAGGAGATCTGCATGGAGGAATGGGCCAAAATACCAGCAACAGTGTGTGAAAAGCTTGTGAAGACTTACAGAAAACGTTTGACCTCTGTCATTGCCAACAAAGGGTATATAACAAAGTATTGAGACTTTTGTTATTGACCAAATACTTATTTTCCACCATAATTTGCAATTAAATTCTTTAAAAATCAGACAATGTGATTTTCTGGATTTTTTTTTTTTTTTTTTTTTTTTTCTCATTTGGTCTCTCATAGTTGAGGTATACCTATGATGAAAATTACAGGCCTCTCATATCTTTTTAAGTGGGAGAACTTGCACAATTGGTGGCTGACTAAATACTTTTTTGCCCCACTGTATAATATAGGACACTGCAAACTATGCTTTCATCACTGTTATTCTTTCACATTTAGTGCTAATTTACCTTCTTTTTCTATCCTTATATAATTAGCTAATGTTGAGCAGATACTTTAAAAACATGGTGTTGGCACCACAAGTGCTAAACCGATAGAACTAAGCCATACGAGATTTGATGCCGAGTGTAAGTATTTGTGACAAAGATTTACAACCAGTGCAGGCCAATTGTCAGAAGCTATCAACGTTCACTTCTAAATTCCTGAGGCTTGTTCGTATCTGCGAGCCTCAGGACTGGTTAGCTAGTAGTGTGGGGCCACGGACAAATCGCTTGTGACACCATTTGCACAGCACTCAATTGCTAGCCACCTTTTATTTTGTGTGTGGGAAGAGGGAGATGATTTAGCTTTGGGCTGGTTTCAGTGTTTTGTTTTGTGATACATCATGTTAAAAGAAGTCACAGTATCCCAGAGATGACAAATTGGCAGCAGGTGTCATCAGCTTCAGAGTATTAATGAACCTATTATGCTGTTGTGGCGAGCCGTTAATCACTTGCGTTTAGTATGCAGGGTTGATGTAATAGCTGAACTTGGACTCGATGTTTTTTACTTGCTGCCGCTTTAAGCTCCTCTCACACTCAGGTTTTCTTATAGAACATACTATAATCAGGCCATTTAGTCTCTCTGGAGTCACCATTGATGCTCACCAGAAAGCCGGGTCATGAGTTCGATGATGAGAAAGTTAAATGTCTTAATGCTCTTAGAAAACTAGAAGGCCTAAATACCATTCAGTCCAAGTTTCTGAGGCTTCTCCTTATGTCTCTGCTCTCTCCCTCTCAATGCTCACACACCACTGGCACCGCCACCACCCCTCTTGTGTAAGAAAAAAAAGAATAGCTTTTAGGCAGACAACCGGAAAAAAAGAAAGAAAGGAGCAGAGAGGACACTTTGTTCTCTGAGGAAACATGACTGAATGTGTGACACAAAGCTTGGTGACAAAGGAAATGGTACGCTGTTCACTGAGAGACCTACATAGATGGATATGTGGACAATTGATAGAGCTCAGCAGTCTGGCTGTCATCTCGCAGCTCTTTGAATATTGTTTACTCCTTAAAAGCATTTTTTTTTTTTTTTTTTGCAACATGTCCCGAGGCTCAGATAGATAAGCTTGTCCAAATTAGAAGATGTGGGTTTGAAAATTGCAGCTCCTCTCTTAAAGCCCTGTCACCATCGCCACCATTTGTCCTGCTACAGTGTGTTTAATATACGCTCCGTTGTCCTGCTCCGAAACCGAAAACTAAAGAATGGAAAATGTCATTTTCACACAAGTCGAAACTAGTTTAGAGCCTTCTGAACATATGCATCTCCGTGCAATTTTACACCTGTCCCTGTGAATGTGAAAATTAATTTTCACACATCATGTAGCCAAGGACGACGGTGTATGTAGCACTGAAGTTGAATGCAGAGTGTCCTCAAACAGATGGAGGATAACATTTCGACCATGACCGCAGTATTGACTTTAGAGGTTACGCCACTCTGCCCTCCTCTTCCTCACCATATCCTGTCACCTTAACAGAACAACGGGATGCATCATTTAGAAATATCACCCTGGATTTGAAATGAACGAGACCTGACCTTATCCAGGTGGGATCTACCGAGCTTTTTCATCGGGATCCACAGGTCTCTGTTTATTGATTGTTATGTCAAGCGTAAGGCCCCCGCGGCTCTGCCTCATGGCTCCGCTCCAATAACAATCACCAGGAGCAGGTGACATGCCACACGGATGCTAGCAGCCCAGAACCAGCCAAACAAGTTAATTATGCCTCCAACAGCTTCATCTACATTCTGCCGAGATCACTCATCTGCGTCTGCGGAAAGTTCTGTCGAAAAAAGCATCTTGATTGTGTTATTTTTGTCTCACATCATCGTGCTTGTCTGGGTTGTCTTGCATCATACTGGCCTTTTAATATGACAAGAGAGGGAATACAACTGTAGCATTACTAACGGAAAGCTTGTGATGTGTGAAAACTAACTATTTTGCCTGCGTAATTCCTGTGATGTTAGGCTGCATAGAATATTCACATAAGTCATTTTGTCCAATTTATTGTCTTAAAATCTGCCTGAATTGATACTGAATTGTTGCACAAAGCAACTTAAGGCAGTTTATTTTAATATTATCAATTTAAAGGATTAAGGAAAAATGTAAACAAAAAAAAAAGACTTGTTAAGATGAATATTTTTTGCTGTGTTGTGTTGGAGTCAAACTCGAGCTGATTCTGTTTCTCCGCAGTGGGGATGAGACAGAAACGGATTCCGAGGTGGAGGACCGCGTGGACGGGGTTAAGTCTTGGCTCTCCAAGAACAAAGGCTCCACCAAGAACCTGTCGGAAGAGGGGAGTCTGAAGAGCACCAGGTCAGTGCCCGCATCCCTGTGCATCACGACAGATGACCATGTACATGCCCGTGGTGACGCAGTGATAAATGTAGACCAGCCTTAAAAAAAGGCCCAGGATTACCCAGGGCCGTTTGCAACAGAAGGATGGGTATTTCATGTGATTAGGTGTCGTCTCTCTCTCCCTGTAATCTGTCTAATGACAGGAGGCGGAACGGGGAAGCGGCTGCTGTCAAATTTATTGAAGTGGCCCGTGGCCAGTTGGCATGGCTGCTTAATGACGCCCCTGCCACAGTTAGATAGATCTCCTCGCTGGGAGATTGCCACACTTTCTGCAGTGTATACTGTACATAACAGCAATAGACTCTTGACTGGTCCCAAGGACAAAATGAAAAATGTAATATTCTGTCAAGGTACCAAAAGTCTCTGTTACCACATGTTGCATACAAATATAGATGGCAACAATTTAGAATTTCTTAAGTATGCGGTTATCTGATTTTTTTCCTCTATTTGTCTTCTGTTGGTTGTCTCTGGTGTCAACTTATTACGTAACCTTTTAGATATTCAGCAAATGCCGATACCAAGGAGGTGAAAGAGGGTAAGGAGAAGATGAACAACGGAGGTAAAGACGGCAGAGAGGTAGAGCAGAACAGATCAGTGTCTGTCATGAGTTCCTTAAGCTATAGGAAGCGTTCCAACCTAAAAGACTCCATAGGGGGGACAGGCGATGACAGCTCCCTGTTCAGCACTCTCAAAGAACAGCCTGACACACCAGACCAGGCCTCCATGCGCAAAGCCAAGTCTAAGTCTGGAGCGCTCCAGGAGGATTGGAAGAAGAGCCAGGCGCAGGAAGACATGGACGACAAAGGCTCCGTCATCTCCCTGGCCTATTCTGAAGCCACCAGCAGAGCCAGGAAGGGCCTGGAGTCCCGCTGGACCTCCCGCAGCAGCCCTGAATTTGATAAGGACTCCATGGCGTCCTCGGTGGCTCCCAGCAGGATGTCCACTCGAAGGAGCCTGCTGGACATGGACGATGACAGTAAGTCGACGATCAGCAGCGTGAGCCGCTCCAGCCCCCGATCGCTGCATCGCAGCAGTTCCTGGAAAGACGACAAACGCAGCGGCTCGCGCCTGTCCGTCGCCCGCAGCTGTGGCCTCAGTGAATTCGGCCTGCATGTGGATGACTGCGACGGCCACAGCGTGGCCTTCACTGAAGGGGGGACTTCATCTTTCAGTCCCCGCTCCCTCAGTCGCAGCTTTTCGACCCCGGCCCAACCGCGCTCCTCCGACGGGAATCTGCCGGATTCATCGGACATCAAGATGGTCACCCACCGCAACTACTTGGACCCCGACTTGGAGGCCGCCATCAATGAGGTGCTGAGCTTCAAACCCATTAAGTTCAAGCGCAGCAAACTTGACGAGTCGAGTGGAGAGGAAGAGGATGAGAAGAAGGGGCCAGGAAGCCAGGACGGTAGGAAGAGCGGAGAAGACGAGGGTAGCACATCCAGCCTGCTTCGCTCCGCATCAAGCTCTGCTCTGGACTACACCAACCGGCCGTCCAGCACCCTGAGCACCAGCAGGTCCCGCGGTCGGAAAGTTAAGAAAAGCAAACTCTCGCCGTCCGACGACGACGACTCCTCCTCTTCAGACGACCGTCGCAGCAGAAAGAGCTCAAGGGGGAAGAAGGGCAAGAAGTCCAAGAAGAGATCTAAGAAGAAGCAAAGTGAGTCGGAGGATTCCTCTTCCTCCTCAAAGTCGTCCTCTTCCTCCTCCTCCTCCTCCTCCTCCCACTCGACCGTCTCCTACCGCAGCTCCAGCAGTGTCAAAAGGGCCCCGAAACAACCACCTGATGATGACGAGCAGGAGCCTGCACGTCGTGGGCCATCAAGCAAGAAGGATTCCCAGAAGAAGCAGAAGAAGGTGGATAGCCTGGTGATGAAGTACCGCTACAGGCCTGACAGTGACTGATGCCGTCAGTGGAAGGTGATGCTCGGTGTGATAATAACCCAGGGGCCTGGCATATCCGAGACTGACCCAGGATCTCTCACTGAATGCACTAACGCAGTGTGCTGTGTGTGAATGTTTTGTATTTATTCTGACTCGGATACACGAATGCTGACTTGTATTGTACTAGATAAGCCCTCGCTACGTTTTTCAGAAGTCACATTGGCCAATTAGTGCATGCCACCGATTGTTTTCCCTTTTGCTCCTGACAACATTCGTCCATCAAAAAACGCCGCCAATTTGCTGTTGTAGTTATCCCCCTAGTTTGCACTACTGACACACTCCGGGTCCTTCAGTCTTATTTGCAAATGTCACTATTAACAGCTGCGGATGCATTTTATACCGTAATCCGTCATTACAATTCATTGCCGATTTACTTTGCTTCATGTTTATCAGAAGCGTCGTCAGCCTTGTAGAGCAGTGTTCCTCTCCTGCTTCCATTCTTCAGAGATGGATTGCAGTGTTTCTCCTGACGCTGTGTTTGATGCTCTCACGCGGTGTTGAGAGAGGGTTCTCTGGCTGTGGCACAAACGGATGTTGGCAATTAGGCGAAAAAACGAAATGACACCAATTGTTTGCTTTAACATGTTAACTGAGCAGAGTTCAAAGAGGTGTGACAACGCTGCTGAGATGACTTGAAGTGAACACTTTGCATCACACTTAAAACGCTGGCTCTTAGCTTCAAAAGCCTATCTGTTTCCAGAGTACTTTCACTGATAGTTTGAGCATCTCTGCCTCCTGTGAGAATTTTAAAAAAGCGAGAGAGCGGGCTTGAGGTTTTTTTTCTTTTCGCAAGTGTCCTTGAACATGTTTGCCTCTCTCGTTAAAAACTGGCTCTCCATGTCTTTAATCACTGCAGAGTGAATGAAGACAGTTTGAGTTGACTAAAGGTGGCACTGGCACATGTGTGGCCATGTCAGCAATGTGACAGTTTACAACTCAAAGCACTGTTTCACTTTTGGAATCGCAGTGTTTGAAAAATGTAATCTGTAACACCACCAGAGAGCTTTTCCACGCTACCAGTTTGCCGAGAGCGCTGCTTTCTATAGTTCACACAGTCACAAGGCAACAACAGTTAACCCCCCCCCCCCCAAAAAAAAAAAGATGAAAACACCTTCAAATTAAGTGTCGCCTTCGCAGCAGATAAACACGCCTGTAAGTTATTTCAGTTCTCATTCATAGCCTCACTGATAACACTGGCGTGCAGCATTTGGTACGGCAGAGCACTTAGGCCCCTTTTCAAATATCCAATACTTCAAAATGCATCTCACAGTGGGGGGGTTATAGTATTGAAAGGACACTTTTTGAATGCTTGTTTTCCTTTGGGTGTGTATTAAAGGGCAGTGGTCATGTCAATGTGGATGTATGAAATCCCTGCAGGTGGAATTCAAGGTACCGCGTTGATTGCTTGTCATGCCATGTGTAGTCATGACAACATGATCTAAGGATGCAAGGCCCTGCTTTGAAATGACCTTTAACGCGGCCGGTAGAAGCGACAGAGTTATGCTGATGCCTGACATTTGCCTTGTTAACTGCACACACTATCTACTAACATGTAAACACTGTCTTTGTGTTGTTAAAAGACGAGAGTTCCTTGTGTTGATTTCTGTGGTTTAATCCCATTAACAGTTTCAGGTTTGCTCGTGGACCAAGAATATGTGCGATGCATTGTTCCTATATATATGATGACAATGTGCGCATATGTTAAGCATACCTCGTGGGATATGTTGTTTACTGCCTGGTGTTTGTGTAATCTCACAGACTAGATTGCTTTGTTTTGTTTCCCCATGCCATCATTTTAATCCTCTAGTTTTATTTCTACTGTAAGTAGTGATATTGTGTGTGTGTGTGTGTGTGTGTGTGTGTGTGTGTGTGTGTGTGTGTGTGTGTGTGTGTGTGTGTGTGTGTCGACCCCTGCAGCCCTCCTGTGTGCCGCAGACACCGGAGTCTTGGCAGATCTGATGAAGAGGATAACGCGGACAGAGACTCAGGCAGGCAGTCGACGGGGCGGAGCGGCAGCGAAGGCCCGCTGGCAGAGAGCGCATCGTAACCCAGACTCGGGTCACCTCGGGCTTTTTAGTGACACACAGGAGGGGAACCATTCTTTCCCCAAATCCAGCTGCTTCCAGAGGAATGGACAGAGAAGACGCACACTGCTTTCAGATAGATTAGTCTGGGCTTTAAAAAAAAAAAAAAATCATATTTCACTTAATCTCATCATGAAGTGATGCTGCTCCCCATGTGCTTTTCTGTTTCATTTAACACAGTGTTTTGAATAAGTTAGTTAATACAGAGCAGGGAAGTTATATCAGAAGAACTTCCTGGCGCTACTTAAATCATAAGAGCTGCTTTTCAGGCAAATATGAGCCCTCCTCTGCACTCTCCTCTGACTTTTCAGATAGCTCTGCCAAGAGGATTTAGATAAGCCTGCTCTGGCTCACGCTCCTCCAAGAAGGTCTGACCAGCCATTAAGACTGTCTCCTCTTCCCCCCCCCCCCATCTCCATTAATGTGGAATATAGCGCTTTGTAGGAGTTAACCCATTTTCAATTAAATATATTGCTGTAAGTTTACATGTGGCTCTGGTGGCAAGTTAAGATGTCCATCATCAAGCAATGCTATAGGTCATGATTGCTGACGTCAAAGTGAAATCATTTCGGAAAATAAATTCCTATTTGAACCAAGCTGTTATCGATGCGGCGCATTGAAAAGGATTTAAATGTGTATTTATATAGTATACACAGATATATAATATTATATGTGGAATCAAGGCCTTTACATGAACTGAATTCAAATGAATTACGATTTTTATAAAGCTAGTGAGAGAACTATTTTATCAAGATAAGGCTTATGTCATATTTCATGCCGCAATTAGTTGGCTCCTGCCGTGCTTTTGTCCACTTCTGTCAGATTTCTCAAGGCTCAAAGGGAATGTGTCTGTTTGCTATTATAAATGAGCTTTCTCTCGAGCTTTCCAGACCTGCATTTTCCAGAGATGCATTTTCTTTTCTTCTTTAAATGCACAAACACTGGACTTCTACTGTATAGCATGAATTAAAGCTCCTTTTAATGTTGAATCCCGCAGAATGATATCCCAGTATAAGCATGTTCATTTCGATGATTCGGTTGCATGTTTCTGCTACATGTGTACGGTGCAGATTGTTGTTTTTTTGGCCATATTGGTTTGAGCAGTAAAATAATAACACCCTTTTCAGCACAACATGGTTCTTCCAGTTTCAAGGTGCCAAAAGCAATGATCATTAAACTGGTGATATTTTGCATGTGAGAAAAATTGGGGATGTTAGAGGTTATCTGTCCATTATCGGCAATAAGCAGCACTCATATTGCGATAGTGAGTCATCCCCAGGCTGTTTTGACAGGGTTTCCATGTCAGGCTCTTCATTTATTTGTACTCCATTAGCCGTCTGTCTACTCTGTATTTGATTATCGCCAAAAGTTCCCATAATCTAAAGCCAGTCTGCTCTTATATTTCAATACCTTTTTTCTTCTTTGTAGCTGTCCAGACGCACATGAAACTCGCTGGTTATTTCTATATTTGGCTTTACAGATGATTGTGAGCTTGTGAATTTTAAACTCTATTTAAATCGCATGTAGGGAGATTTAAATGACAAAGCACATACGGAATATGTGCATGCGGACTGTCTGCCTGTGTGAAAAGAAAAGCTTCAAGCGTCTGACTTTCTATTTGCATATTGTCTCAGAAGAGGCTAATCTGCATTTCATGTCTTATTTTCTCCCCTTTATTTGTGCTTCACATGAATATTAATGTGGAACACAGGGAACTTTGATGTCAGTGATTCAAAATAGACTTGTTAACTGAAAAAAAAAACCAATAACACATTTTGAGTTGCATTGCCTCCAAGTTGGAGTTGCTGGCATTACACATAGTGTTTAAATAAGTTTGTACACTTTTCAAAAGGCTCGCCTATTTTCATTATTCAACCGATCATTTGTGATATGAGTGATTTTGGAGTTTTTAGATAATAAATTTGGCAGAATCAATGTTGGCTTGCTGTAATTGCATAGAGGTGTAATATGGATGTGATTCTGTTTAAAATCCACCGCCGTGAGAGAAAAGGAGGTTATGGAGGCAGAATGTTTTTTAGTGTTGTGTTTTTTTTTTTTAGCAAAACAAGCCATTGATGTGTCTGATTAATTTTAGCTCATGCACCCCAGAGTAACTTCTCATCACACCCATCCACTCTTCCCAGGAGAGCACACGCGGAAACAAACAATTCATTGAAATGATTAATTCGGAGCCGTTGGAAGACTGAATTGCTCGCGCTACCTTGCAACACGCGGGGTTGCTAAAAACGTGTGCTACACAGCTAAGCAGTTAAAAAAAAAAACAAAAAAAAAAACAAGCTTGGGGCGAATTCAGAGGGGATGGAAAACCCGAGAGCAAGCGCAGTGTTCCTCCCCACATCAATCTCTGTTCTGCATAGGTGAAGCTTACCGAGACTCAAAGGGATTGATGGTTTTAGATTACCACCTTGGTTGACATTCACACTTGTGCGTGTTTTGCTTTAAAGAATCCCTTATTTATCCAACCAATCTGTAGTCGTCCTCATCCCTGTACACAACCTGTTCTGGCGCTTCACTCGGTTCCAGGGAGCGTTTTCTGTAATTTCCCCTCACTCGCGTGCACCCTGTGGGTGGCTGCGTGCGTCTGCTTAAAGGCTTTCCATTGAGTGACAGATTAAATTCTGCTCCCGATTTCGGCTCCAACACTGTTTCACAAGCCACTGGAGCAGGAAGTCATTAGCTCGACAAAGCCAAGCAAGTCTGTGTTTACCGTGCCACCCTCCCTGTTATTTCGACAGAATGGTCCGGCCGCAGACATCTGCTGCACTGCAAGTCTGATGCGGCGCCTTCACGGACAGGGCTGCCCTGTGCGCAATAACGTAGAATGTCCTAACGTTAATGCACGCACAGCTACATTGCTTATCTGAGTAGGTTATTTCCTCATATCTTTAACATTTTCGTCCGATGTATTCATTGACACCACTTGTCTCCTCCGACAAGATCCTGCGCCGGTTTGTGGACAAAGATGCAGCTTTTAAAATGACAAAGCAGATGGAAAACAGCCAAACGGAGTCAGGGCTGACTCTTAAATAAAACTGCGTGCCATTTTAATTTAATTAATTTTATTTTGCACAAGCTGCTCTGTTCGCCAAGCATCTCCACATTTTGACCTTGGCCACGCTGCCAGGCAGTAAAATATACGGGGGGGGGGGCAGTTATAGGGGAGAACGTGTTTATCAGGCATCATCTTCTACTATTAGCGCTCCCGGGTTTCTGCAGGATTCCTGCTGTCAATAAAGCACTGATTGGAGGCTCTGGGACACTGCCTGCAGGGACCAGGTGAGGAGGCTGCATTCATTTGCAATTCAAGACACAGCAGCGTGCTGCATGGGAGCCTCTCTTTGTTTGCACATATCATTTCCACTCTAATGAACACCGCACAGTAGTTGGCCCTTGTAACGAGGATCAAAGGTAGGCTCAAACATTGTTTACATTTTCCGTGGGTCTTCCCCGGGGCCTGGGAACAATAAAAGCAGTTTCTTGTTCTCTTCGCGTACCATAAAAGTACCCACAGCAATGGAAAACACTTTGATTTATTTTGGCTTATGCTACTGCTCATACCTAAGCACAGTTCAAACCTTGAAAACAAATTGCTGAAATCCTTTGAGTGGAAAAATGGAAATGTTGGAGCGTCCATCACCAATTTCAGTGTTGGATTTGTCTCTGTATCTCCACTCCACAGTATGCCGGTGGCCAAAGTCTCCTGCTGTGCTCAGAGCTGTTCAGTGCTTAGTGTCCCTGCCAAAGGAGAGTTACTGCCCCTGTCGCTGGTGTGTGTGTGTGTGTGTGTGTGTGTGTGTGGCCTAGGTGGGGAACGATGACTTAAGATGTACTCTATAGCAGTCCACTTCATCTGAGGGATTTGAAAGGGGCGCAAATGGTCCTTCCCCACAGCCTCTCTCAGTGGGGAAGTGTTGGAAAGATCATTTACCTGTTTCCCAAAGTTCCTCGAGCACTCGCTTCCTGCATTGTGGTGCGATTTCATTTCTGTTGTTCCCTTTGCTATTAGGTTTTTGGCCCTGCAAACTCAGAAACCTGTTAAGAAATTGACAGGAGATGCAGGGGCATCCTGGCAGCGCCGTGTTTTAGGATTGTTCCATAAAAACCACAATGTCCTCTTGTCTTATCTGACCAGGGGCTTCTTTTAGTGTACGGCGTGCGTCTCTCAGTATCACTGCAGTCGATGCTGTACATCCAAGCAAATGGCAATTGGTAAAATGAGAATGATCTAAAACAACGAACAAAATAGTCAAAATCAAAAATGTAATGGCAAAAGAGGGGGATGTGCTGCACTCTGCAGCATTGCACTGAACATTATTAAGGGGAAGTGCATTTTTCACTGCACAAACTATAGAACGTATACGTGCTTTGTGCATATAATTGATGATCATGAGTGATTCCTCCACCGTGTGCTGAGATTCATGGCTTTGAGACGACACCTACCCACCTGTTAGAATTTCTGAATCCTCCTACTGTTTGGCCTACTTCTGTTTTCGGCTGCTGAGTGATGGAGAACAGTTCAAACGGAGAGAGAGAGAATATTTGTCACATTTATGTGGCAAAACCTAAAAAGCGCTTTGTTTTCAAGCCCAAATGGCCCATGACAGAGCACTTTTATTGCGACACTATTTTACATCTCTTGGATTTCTTTTCTCGTTAGCTCGTCTAAATGCAACTTTATTGCCCATATTAATCCGTGGCCACACAGATGGGAGGATTGACATGGAGGGGGGGGGTGGGGTGGTGACAGAGACTTGTGTAGGAGGCTGCTGCTGTAGCTGCACTTCCCTCTTACGCTGATCAATGGGATTAATAGATTGCTGAATATCACTTTGTTACTCTAGACAACAGGAGGGTGAGAGAGTATCGTGCCATTAACCAAATTCCTATTT